GGGTACAGGTCAGAGGTGCAAGGGCAGTGAAAGGATTCACCAGAGACAGAGTGGGGAGCAGAATAGGGGAGAGGCGGGTGGGTCAGGAGAGGTCTGCAACGCCATGTGGGTCATCTCCTGGGCAGGCAGGGATCGAACTCAAGCTGAAGTGGCTTCAGCTTCACACCAATTTTAAGTGCTGTGCTTTAACCTGCTACGTCACCAGGGAGGGCCCCATCCTACTTTTTGTCCTACTGTATAGAGCTGCCTGGTAGCCATTTGAACTAATGATTACATTGTTTCAGAAATTGATCTTGGAGTCCACAAAAAAAAAAAAAAAAAAGTGGGGGGGGAGGTAATTTTCTCTTGATAGGCTTGATGGAGAAATTACTAAATTGCAAAAATCTGGCTGGGCAATGCCAGTACCAGACAACTCTGAGAGATGGTGTCCAAGGACCATGTCACCGGGATTCACAGCCCATTGGAGATGCCACAGATGTTGTGGCAAGCAGGCAAGGCATGCAAGCATGCAGATGCTAGTATGTAGGGAGGCGGGAAGTTCATGATTTACCATTAATAGAGAACTCTGTGTTATGTTCAAATCTGTCAGTATGTTAACCATATAAAGGAAATAAAGCTAAAATTATTGAGATATAGTCATGACTCAAAACCTTAATGACAAAAATTCAGAATGGATCATAAAAGTCATTAAAGTGACATGCAACCTCTAGAGGGTCTTTTAAATTTTACCAACAGAATAATTTCCACACTAGTTAGCTACCTCACCAACAGGAAAAGAAACCTAGGCATGTTCATTAAATAGCATATCTGCAGTGGTAGGACAGGGGGTAGGGTGAATGAGAGATGATTTGAGATTGTGAGGCATATCCCTAAGGTATTCTTTGTTAACAGAAAAATTACTTTGTGACAAGTCAAGAATTTTAGTTCATGTGAATACATCTATGTTATTAAAATAAAAAATACATTCTTGGTATATTACAAGTAGTATAAAATTTTCTTAACCTATATTATTTACCTAGCTACCTTAAATATGTTTTAGATATGTACAGGTAGTATAAATAAAGGCATTTTTCCTATGTATGTTTTCTGAAAAATTACTGTTACCCTTAATGTAGAGATTTCAGCTAGATGAAGAAATAGCCATGTCCTTTTTATACATATTCTGAGAATTTAAGTGCTTTTATGATGATGATGGTTAAAAACAAAGATAAGTTATATTGCAAAGGAAGAAAGAAAGAAAGAAGGAAGAAAGGAAAGAAAGAAAAAAGAAAAAAACCCTGCAAAAGTAGAAATTATCTGTAGCTGTCTATATTACAGCAAGCAAAATCTGGTAGGGGGTCAATCTCTTCATAAATAAATAACTTAAGTAAGCAAAGCAGAGTTGTATTTCTAATAACTGCAACCTTGAGCTGTGACATTTGCTATTTTCACTGTTAACTTGACTGGTATTAATGCATTAATTTGAATTCAAAAATTAGGAAATCCAAATAAGCATTTGAATTCAAGTTGTGTTTTGTAGCATTTTAAACTGTTATATTCAGAGGACTTGATGTAAGTATTATATAAACTGTACTAAAAGGAAATCCCATCACAACACTGCCCTATTCTAGACTGGAATTTTTATAACATTGGAAATGTCATTTAAAATACTCTACATGTTATTGTATTCAACACTTGGTATCTAGAAAACTAGATACTAGATTAACTAAAGTCTGGACTAAAATTCACAAATTTGGACTTTTTCCATAATTTGGGATTATTTAATTAGAATGTCGGTCAGGGAAACAAGTACTACTTTGTTGTTGTTTTCTCGAAACACACTGAAGATTGTCACTGAATTGTGATAAAAGCTCTCAAGCAGAGGTGCTTAGTCTCTCTTCTCACCTTATTGGTGAAAACTCTGTGTTTGAAACTACTGGGATAGTGAACATATGCCTTGGAGAGGGGACATCAACTCAACCAAAGGCACCATCTAGGAAGGACAGGACTATAATTTCTGCTTTAATATGTCACTCATGAGCCTTGAAAAGATGCATAGTAGTCAAACAATTTGAATAAGAGAAAATTTTGAAAAACTAAAATCTGTGTTTTATAAGAAACACAAAGTATATCTCATTAGATTCTAATGTGAAAAACTTGACACGAACAAAGTATAGTAGTTATTTAAAAGTGATCAAACCTACCCATTTTCTTCAATGAGTGACAAGTACACGATAAATTACTTAAGTTTTATATATAAAGGATATATATCTATGTTAGGTTGATATATAGTTATATTAGATAACTTGAAATTTTAAGTTATATTTAATATGTGGATAAATGAATATATAACATAAGTATATGAAAGGATATTTTATATATAATTTAACAGAACTACAGATTAGAAATTAATCTGACTCTGTAGATTTATATTTTGAGACAGAAGCAACCAAAAATTGCCCTCCAAGAGAAGTTAATGAACTAAAATTGGTATGATTTAAATTTTTTCTTTGAAGAAAACTTATTAGAGAACATTAGTTGTGGTGTGCAATATTTTTTTTTCAACATTTTTTTTTTTAATTCCCAAGTGACATTAGCCTGTTCTTCCAAAACGAGAGTTTTGGCTGGTGAAAGAGAGCATGGAAGGATAAGCACACTTGTTTGTAATAGAAGATTCTGCATCCTTGGAACGAGCTAAAAGAATGTTATGAAAATTTAGTCAAAGGTGCAGAAAAAAAGAGGGGCTTGTTTTAGTGATACATTTCTCATTCTTACAGGCTGCTCTTCAGAGATCATCAATGTCAGATGACTCAAGAGAAAGTTAAGACAATAAATTGAGGTAACAGGTAAAAATTGTAATATATATATGTATATATATATATACACACACACACACACACATACACATCTCTGTGTATAGATTTTCTTGATATTCATTTGTTATCTTTCTATGTGATTTTTCCTGCAACATAAGCATTTATTAAACAGTTGATGAAAGAATGGATATCAGATTTGTTACTGATAATTAAACACTTGGTATACTTCAGGAGCTTGCTGTCCGGGAGAGTCTGATGAGAGAAGGCTGTAGGATTCAGTCTAAAGTGCCCATGAAATTCTGTTGCCTCCACAGAAGGAAAAAAGAAAATCCCAGTGCTGGATAATTTATACTAGATAAGTTTGATCATGACAATTACAAATACATTTCTCAATTTATTGTCTTACTTTATCCCTAGAGAAAGTTTATATTAAAATATAACTAAACAAGTTTACAGCAACTTGAAAAGTGAAAAAGGTTCTTTCACTATTGGTGGTAATTTGCCATTTAATTATGTATAAAAATATAAGTATGCCTAAAAAGACTGTTAAAATTTAAAATTTCACAAATACCAAAGCATCATGTAATACTAATTTTTCTTAATTATCCATCTACAAAAGTGATATAATATATGGAAGTGGCAAATATTCTCAAATTTACTTTCTTTTATTCTGCTAATCTGAAAGAAAAATCAGAACATTGAGATCACTGGATTCTATGTTAAAATGTGAATTTGGAAATATATTTGAAAAAAACCAGTTTAATTTCTGAGCCCATGAAGAATGAAATGAAAAAACATTTTAAATTATAATGCAATCTTAAGTGGGGACTAAGAAACTTAAAACTTTCCAAATATTTTTGAAAACTGACACATTTACTCACAGAAGTTTGAAATGCTGTCAGTCATGGTCTCCACTTGTCAATTTCTTACTCACAGCCTTCTATGTTGGCGTAGAAGATGAGAGGTGAAGATGTAAAGACCCACCTATTTTAGCTCAACATGACACATACCAATGGCCCTACTAAAGCTATCAATACTGTCGTGTGTCCTTGAGTACTGTTAATATAGTAGTTCATGCAAGTTCTCATCACAAGAAAAAAATGTAATTGTGAAGTGCTGGATGTTAACAGACTTAATGTAATTATTTTTCAAAATGTACATGTATCAATTCATCACTTGGTACACCTGCATGATGTTATATGTCAATTACATTTCAATGAATAATTACTCACTTCACACTTTCCTGCAAGATTGACTGAGATTCGACAGGCTGCAACGTGAAATCTTCTCCTGGATAATTATGACACTCATACATGCTGTAATGTGTTCATTCCTTTTTACTGATCAGTAGTCCTCTAATCAAAGAATGTACTAGAGTTTAACTCTCTTGTCACTGGACCTGTGATATTTTTGTCATTTTGGCTATTACAAATAAAGTCATTTGTGTATGAGGCTTTGTCTGGACATCTGCTTTTGAGTTCTGTTATACTTGAATTTTTTCTATCAAATTTCCCCTTTTTCACATTCAAGATTTTTAATATTTAAAAAAATGTGAGTTTAGATAAGAGCATCCATGATATTTAATCTTTTACATGAAAATATAGGAACATGGAATAGCATAAGTCAAGTACAAATTTGTCAAAATTTAAAATATACTTCTTTGGGGCTCTCCCTGGTGGCACAGTGGGATAAAGCACAGCACTGAGAATCTAAGGCCACTTCCGCATGAGTTCGATTCCCGCCTGCCCCGGAGGTGACCACATGGCGTGGCAGACCTCTCCTGACCCGCCCGCTGCTCCCCTCAGCAGTGTACTTCGTCCATCTGCCTGTTCTGTTCCCCACTCTGTCTTTGGTGAAGCCTCTCACAGCCCCTGAGTCTGTACCCCAGTTCTGTATGCACAAGTAAATAAATCTTAGAAAAAGAAAAATATATATATACTTCTTTGTTCCACAAATTTTCATAATATTCTGTAATACTGGGGAATTACCATCTGTTGTTTCTGTTTCTCATCAGTGGAAAGAGTATATGTTATTTTTATATATACTTAATAATATATGATATGTATTTTATGTGCCAATTGTAATTCATAGGATTATAGGAAGTATAGAATAAATTCATTGAAAATGCTATGCCATTCTTTTTCTCATTATTACTTTTATTTATTGTAATCTTTTCAGAAATACTTCTGTCATATGTGTAAGGAAACCCATGTTTAAGTTTTCACTATGAAATATTGTTCACTATAAAAATACAGTAATAATAAAACATTGGAAAGGATCTAAATGACATTTAATAAGGGATTATTAGACAAATGTGGTATATATGTAGGAGAAAACACAGAGAAAGAATAGATAGGGGTACAAGGGAGCCTGTCAAACTCCCTGCTTCAGTCTTTAATCAGTGTGGAGCTTAACTGTTCATTAATATCTCTGTCTCAGTTACTTCAACTATAAAACATGATAATATTCTCCTTATAAAACATTTTTAAGGAATCAAAGTGATATTATAAGTAAGTTGCTTAGAAGAGAACCAAGTAGAGTGTGCATTACATCAACCAAAATATCATGAAAAATTATTAAACAAACCCTTTATAATATGGGCCAGACTGAATGGCTGCTATAGAAGGGTACTCAAAGGGTACTCAGTAAGTACCATTTTTCCCTTGTAGATACTGTATCACAGACTCAGGTAAATGATCAGCTTATATATATCCTAAGACTTGGATATCAGCGTTCAAATATTCATCAATAATTTCTTTATTCTGCAACTACAGGGAGGGAATAAGAATTACAAATGTTTCAATATCAAATTCAACTTCCTTAATTTCAGATATGAATAAAAAGTTTAATACATAAAATTGTTCAATTCTACAGTAAAGAGTAAAAAATAAGTTGTAAAAAGACCTGTCAGTCTTAGAATAGCTTATTTGGATTTGTGGAGAAAAATCTTATGTTTTCACAGGGTATAACAAAAGTTAAGTGTTTTATTGGAATTACTGAGATTGACAAGAATGAGTGATCATCATTTGATAGTGTTACTTTACATGGAAATGACAACATGAAAAACAAGCAAAAATAGAGAGTTATGTTAACACGTACATTTTGCTTTCTGTGCTACTTCTTCTTTTAAGAAGCAAAAACTCCTTTATATACAGATTATCCAACAGATATTCAAATAATTCTTAAGTCTGTGAAATAAATTTACAGGCTTATTCAGATTAAAATAGAAGTTGGCTTTCATCTCATGTAAAGCAAAGAAAGCATATGTGTATGAAAAGAAATAAAAATCCTGGTTACTTCTCAGTGAAGGTGATAATCTGCTTTTATACTAATTTAGGTACGGTATAACAAGTAACCACTAAATGTAGTAGCAGGAGGAAATTTGGCTGGAATTTTTCCTTTTACAAGTCGCAGCCACACTTCTTGTCCGTAATTTAACTCCAACAAAGCATCCCCAGTCAAAACCCTATCACAGTGTATTTCACTGTTAATATTTTCTGACTCAAATGCAAGCTTGTCTACACCATCAACCACTAAAAATCCAGAGATATGAGCACTAAATGACTCAATGGTGTACTTAAAAACATAAACTCCAAGATATGGAATCCTGAATTTCCCAGTTCTTGGAGTATAAGAAGCTCCATAATTGACATCTAAATTGTTAAACAGGATAGGACCCGGTGTCGTCATTCCATAGGTGTGAGATGCAAAAAATGCTACCATTGGTGCATACCGGTAAGATCCTTTGGAGAAGTCTGTTGGAGGAAAAAATACAGTGTTTATGTCTTTCTTTTATCCTTTTAATCCTTCCTCTTCATTAGTTTATCTCAGTTATAAAATAGATTAGCAGAAGTAAAAAGGCCGCTCATCACTGGATGAGAAAGAACTTAGTTTTGATGCCTGCATCTTATGTTGACTGAATTAGCCCAAATGGCTTAGCATCTCAAGCCTCAGTTTCTCTATTTAGATCAGAAGAGAGTGACAGTAACACTTATAATGCAATAATACCTCCTTCTTAGCTTTGCCTCAAAGATTAATTTGCACACTGCTATGATCTCTCTGGAGGGAAAAGAATTCAAAGCACTCTGTGATTATTTGGGTATGCCAGCATGTTTTAAAGCCCCTCACAGGAACTGAAACAGACATGATGTAGAGACAATTTTTCCAGCACCTTGTCAAACATTTCAACAGGCAAAAGAGAAACCAAATAACGTCACAGGCACCACAGAGAATTAGACAAAAGCAATTTTCTGTGTAATTAATGCCAAATTATTTAAGGCTGGATGAGATTTAAAAATAGACTAAAAATTTTACACTTTAATATGAAGTATATTAAGAAAAAACTTCAGTTGACATTTATTGGTTGTCATTAAGAAATGTATTTCAAATATATTTCAAATGCTGTACACATCATCCTTTATAAAGTCAGAAATGAGACTACAGCAACCAATACTAAAGAAAATGGCATCTGTGAAAGGCATTGTGTTCTACTCCACACTTGTGAGCATGTTCTAACAGTCCCCCAGGCAAATGGCTCTATTAGTTCCAGGGGAAAGATACTGTTAAGCACTTATCAAAGCTTCCTTTAAATGACCTTCTTTTAAACGGCCTTACCTGACTTGAATCAAAAGTGTTTCTTTAATAATTTGAGGAGAGTGTATATACTCAGATAAACACTTCTGTATTTTGTTTTAAAATGTGCAAAAAAATTGGGGAGAACAGAACATTTTCATTAGACTATCTTTATTACACCAGTTATGAGACTTTCTAGAATTCTGTGCCAATATGAGTTTACTCGATAAAAAAAATTTCCTCTTGTCAATACTGTATGTCATTCAATAAATTTTGAAATAAAAGGAATTCATTCTCTAGCAAGTCCCGATTAAGCAAACTTCAATACACATTTGAAAATATTTTTTTAAAAAACATTTGTTTAGGAGCAGCGGACCACTCATTTCACCCATTGCTCCTCTTAGCAGAGTATTTCAATAAACCCACTATTTTGTTTGAAAAAAAAAAAGTTTGTTTATGATGACAAAGGATGCACACACTGCTTACCTGGAGCTAAAGCATTTTCTTCCAGAAGCTTGACAGTACAGTTGTCACCAGTGAAAGGATGTCGGCAAGCACAGATAAAGCTGCTTCTTCCACTGATACACGTGCCCCCATTTTGGCATGGAGACTCACTACAGCCCGAATATTCTTCCATTACTGAAAAAGCATCAAGATAAGAGAGTGTGAAGAAACAATGAGCAAAGGACTAATGTCTATTATATGTGAAGAGCTCTAAGTGCAAAAGAAACGAAGCAATTCCCTTTAAAAAGACAAAATAGGGGCCCTCCCTGGTGGCGCAGCAGGTTAAAGCACAGCACTGAGAAGCTAAAGCCACTTCTGCACGAGTTCGATTCCGCCTGCCCCAGAGGTGACCACAGGGCGTGGCAGACCTCTCCTGACCCGCCCACTGTTCCCCTCAGCAGTGTACTTCATGGATCTGCCTGTTCTGCTCCCCACTCTGTCTCTGGTGAAGCCTCTTACCGCTCCTGAGCCTCTGGCCTGTACCCTAGTTCTGTATGCACAAATAAATAAATCTTAAAAAAAAGGAAAATAGGCCTCTGTGATGGCACACGACAAGTTAAGTGTGGTACTATGAAGCAATCCCCATCCACTGCAGCATGAGTTCTGTTCCCAGCCAGGGAGGTGACCCACATGGTGTGACAGACCTCTCCTGTCTCACCTGCTGCTCCCCTCAGCAGTGTGTTTCAGTAGATCTGCATGTTCTGTTCCCCATTCTCTCTGGTAAGTCCTCTCACACCCCACACCTCTGGCCTTTACCTCAGTTCTTGTATGCATAAAAAAAAAAAATCTTAAAAAAAGGGAAAATAACTGAATAAAACCCAGAAAAGTTTACTAAAATACTTAAAACACATTCAACCTCATTTACTAACTGGGAAATAGTAAATTACTACCTCCAACATTTTTAAATCAGGTGGCAACATCTAAAAAAATAGAAAATACTCAGTTATAGCATTATGAGGGGAAAGAGTATTCTTATGCACTGTTGATTGGAGATCAAAAATCCTGGCAGCGTAATGGGTTAAAGCACAGCACTACGAAGTAGCTGCAGCTGCTTCAGTACAAATTTGATCTTCAGCCAGGGAGCCCACCCACATGGCTTAGCAGATCTCTCCTGTCTCACCTACTGCTCCCCTTGTACATCTACCTGTTCTGCTCCCCCTTCTCTGGTGAATCCTCTCACCGCCTGTGCACCTCTGTCCTGTACCCCCATTCTGTATGCATAAATAAATAAATTTCAGTTGTTTAGAGACCAATCAGATCCCATTTATTGAAAAGTTTAATTTTCTTTGAGCCAGAAATTTCTCCTGACAGAATATATACTCCAAACATGTCACTTATCTATAAGAATGCTTTATGACATAATTTTTATTAGTGAAAAACTCTAAGACATCAAAGTGACCATTGACAGAGGACTTGTTAAATGATTAAGATTGTATGTTTCTTCTAAGGAATATTAGGCAGCAGTTACAGGATGAGATAGATCCCCAACATATTTGATTTACTGAAGACAAGTAAATCAAATACATACATTAGATATGAAACAATTTAATTTATTTGGCAAGATTCAGATTGTGAGTATGGTTAAAAACATAAAACATGATTATGTAAATGAAGAGAAAATGTTAATACAGTACTAGTTAGTTACCACTATGGCGCCACCTTGTGGCAACAGCTCGAACTTTACAATTCACTCATTTCAAATCAGAATTTTAAAATCAGGGTTATACAATTTGTTTACAATTCTGAATTTATGTATATATATCCTATTTTAAATTTTTCACGTTCATAAAACATAACCAAATTATTATTAGAATATAAGAATTTTTATATTTTATGTTTTAATAAAAGTACTATTAGAATATGAGTTTTTGCTAGAAAATATATCATACAATAAGAAATTGATTTGATATATTTATATATTCTCTGAAATAGCCTATATCCTATAAACTATTTTCCTCATTAAGATGTATATGAAAAACATCACATGTATGTAATATCTTTTAAAAATGTTTTAAACTGGCCCACATTTTCTTGACATCATTTCTCATTCAAATGAAAAGGTTAGTAAAACTTTCCATTTGCTATTAGATATCATTTTGAAATACAGTCCATTACTTGCTAATTTTAATGCTTCACTGATTCTCTATTACTCATAAATTCTTTATGTCAGAGCATTAGCTTCATCTGTTTTCACATTTTCTGAATCTAGCACAGCGATCAACTCACAAGACGTGTTAATTAATGTGCTTCACTAGGAATGAATAACTGCAGTGGAGTTGGGCAGCATTGCATTATTCATGTAATCCGATAAACTCTAACACTCTTACTTCCCTGTATGGAAAAAAACGTTTTTCTGATCCAGAGCCCATGAAACAGGATGACATTTGTCATCTGAGGAAAATTTCAGAACAACTAAATATCGATCCCCCGTGCAATACTATAATTTCTACCCTGATTCTACAAGACTAGTACCTTTGCAATCTATTTAGTGTCCAGAATGTACATTCTGTTTTTCCCTCTCTTCTGTCCCTTCAATTGCAAGAATGGTGTCTTGCCTTGCTCCCCTTTTTATGTCATTTCAGTGGGCGTCATTTTATCGTTATTCCTTGGTGGGTCATTCATTGGGAGAAGAGCACTCCTTAAGAATAACTGAGGAGACGGGCCCTCCCTGGTGGTGCAGCGGGTTAAAGCACAGCATTAAGAAGCTAAAGCCACTTCCACATGAGTTCGATCCCCGCCTGCCCGGGAGATGACGACATGACGCAGCAGACTGCTCTTGACCCGCCCGCTGCTCCCCTCAGCAGTGAACCTTGACGATCTGCCTGTGTCTGGTGAATCCTCTCAACGCCTTTGCACGTCTGGCCTGTACCCCAGTTCTATATCAATAAATAAATAAATCTTAAAAAAAAAAAAGAATAACTAAGGAGTTACATTTTCTCCTTTCACTGCTAAGCTCCCAGTTGCCAAGATGCACCTGGCATGCCTTCCAGGGCATCTCTCATAGAGGCTGCTGTTTGTTTATGATGACAAAGGATGCACACACTGCTTACCTGGAGCTAAAGCATTTTCTTCCAGAAGCTTGACAGTACAGTTGTCACCAGTGAAAG